TGCTGGCCTAGAGAATGGGGTAAAGTGGATCAGCGTATACAAGCACAAATACAGTGTTAAGCCAGGTGATTTTACGTGAGTATAGAGGGCAAATTAGGGCAGTGGTAACTTAGAGTAGGACATCTCCCTTGATGGGGTAGCTACTGTTTAGCTCCGGTGGAATTTTTACATGCAGGATTAAGCCAGAAATCTGCATTTTATGTGAAAATTTCCAATTTTAAAATGTTTGCAAATAATATTCAGTCTGTGGGCTTCCAGTTGGTGGCCTTTGGAGTAGAACAATGGTTCACCAAGTGTAGACCATCAGTATCAGCATCGCTTGAGAACTTCTAAGGAATGTAAATCCATGCTTTTTGAATCAGAAACTCTGGAGGTGGAATCCACCAATCTATTTTAACAAACCTTCTAGAGATTCTGACGCAAGCTAAAGTTTGAGAACCACTGGAATTGAGTATTTGGAACCTAGCTTGGTGCCTAAATCATACTACAATAAATCCTCAAAAAAAAATTTGTTAAAAAGAGGAGTGGGAGAAGGTGAAGATTGAGGATATCAATTTGGAAGTTGGTTGGTGCCAGATTATAGATTACATTAAAAGCTGTTTTAAGAAATTAGACTTGAATGTACAATGGGAAGACACTGAAGGCTTTTGATTGGGGGGATATAAATTAGAGCTCTGAGTTAGTGTTATAATAGCAGCTTTTAGGGATGGGCATTGTAGTGAGGAAATTCCATTTGAAATTTAGACTATGACTAGAAATAGAAATAATAAAAATTAAATAGACTCTTGTGGTGTACTGTTTTAGCTTGTTGATTGCTTAATTTCATTGGCATTTTACATCTGCTAATAGGGTTAAATGTTTTATAAAAATGCCTTGAATATATAATGTGATATATCCTTTTGACAATTTAATCTTTAATCTGTGCTATGACTTTTCTTTGAGTCTAATGAATCATATTGGGTTGTTAGAAAAGTTGTGAAGCATTTTTGCAACGGAAAACAGAAAAATACATCATGACTTTTCCGACAACCCCATATAATTCCAATTTGAGGTAATGTTTTTACAATATAATTCTGGTAAATACATTCTTATAATAGTTAGCTTAAACTTTTTGAGATTATAGAAAGCAAATTACTATATATAATGTAATTTATATTATAATCTCAGCATGATACTATTTAGAATTGATGATGAATGTTCAATTTGAATATTGACTTAGTGCAGCTGGATCAGAGTTTTCCAAAGTATGTTCTGTGGAACTTTAATTCTGTGAGATGTTTCTAGGAAAGAGTATTGTGTTTGAAAAAGTGCAACATGCATCCTTTTTTGGTGATTAGTTTCTAAAATCAGTGTGGATGGTAAAAATGTATATACAAAATTGCCTTTAAATTCTTTTGCTGCCCATAAAATAGTTGTAAACATAGTCTACTACATTCAGATTTCTTTTCTAGCATTTTTCAAGATTGTTTCTTTGACTGTGTCAGGTGACAAATTCATTGGCATTTAGGGACTGAGTAGAATAAAAAAACCCTTATTTTTACATGTTTTTAAACACCGGAATTACACTCATTGCAGTGCGTTTACTGTAGTAGTTTTTCTGAGTCATTCCTCTGTAATTTTAATTTGCAAAAATTTAAATGCTTATGATTCTGCTCCATTGTATGACCACCTCTCTATCCATGTAACTATAATTAGCATAGTGTAGTTTCTGAAAATTCCTGTATAAAGAAAACTTATTTGACTGTTGAATGTTTTTTGGAGGTGTTTATTATCTTTCAGAGTAGCTTGGGGAAATTCTGAGCTCAAGCCTTTTTGATATTGAAACTTTTGAGTTGACTGCTCACCAATTTATATTAGCAGTTTTTGCTGTGGATAAGTTTTACTAAGGGGAATGTATAAGGGCAAAATTTTGCTAGTACCAATGGAATACAACTGAAACCACCAGACATTCTACATACCATAGAGCAGGGGTCAGCAAACTTTTGAGATGGAAGAGCTGCCAGGGGTCAGCAAACTTGGCTCACGAGCCACAGGCTCTGAAGTAAAATTGAAAATGAAAATAAAACTACCATAGTTTCACTTATAAAAATTTTAAAGGACATTATTTACATAATGGTGATTATGTAAAAATATATTTATGGCTCTCGAATAATTTTTAAATGGTTGTGAGGGATAGGATTGGCTCTTTCAGGGGTTGGCAAACTTTTGAGACTGGAAGGTACCCAAAGAGCCGCATGTGGCTCATGAGCTGCAGTTTGCCGACCCCTGCCATAGAGAGCCATGTGGGGCCATGAGCTTTATCTACAAAACGTAATACTACTGGGAAAACCTAGGGTAGAGTGATTTTATTTTTAAAATGTAGACTTGATTCTATAGAAATATATTAAATTTGAAAAATACCCTAAGTTAAAATATTATTTCATCCAATATATTAGTACTTTATTTTATTTTATTTTTTTAAAGATTTTTATTGGGGAATTGGAGGGATGGGAACAGCACTGGGGAATTGGGGGAAGGGGAACAGACAAGTTGCTGTCATTTTGTTCTTCAGTTTAGTTGTGGAGGACGTCGCTTCACTGGCCCATGTTGGTATTATCATTGCGCTCTTCCCTGGTGAGGCAGATCAGTTGCCGGCCACTGGACGGCCACTCACGGCGGCTCTTGGCAGCTCACACCAGCTGCTGGCTGCTCACGCTGGCTGCCAGCCACACACGGTAGCTTATGGCAGCCCACTGCAGCAGGGGCTACAGCCTACGCCGTTGCCGGTGACTCTCCAGGTTGAGCTGTTGTTCAGCATCTTAGCTGTAGAGGGAAGTGTCACTGGCCCTCATGTGGGATCCGAACCAGGGTCCTGCTGCTCAGAGTTGGCGTCCCAAGCCAGCTGTTAGCCAACGTGCCACTTGGCCAGCCCTCGCAGTAAAAGTTTTAATTAACAAAATTAAAATTTTACATAGATTGAAAATAGCAAAAATATGTTTATAAGTTGTGATATAATCTGTAATGTTTTTTGTAAATGTTGCTGCTTTTAATATTTGTGGAAATAAATAAAACCTTGATTCCTAAAGCACACATTAAATTTAAGTTTAATCTTTAGTATGTATGTTACTTAAGGATTTCTATTTTTGCTTGGACTTTGTTGAGGAAGGATTTTTAAGCCAACCTTTAGAAGGGGTAGGAGGAATTTCAGCAGCATAGCAGAGAAAATATATTTAAGTCAAAGTAAGCAGCATGAAAAAAGGCCTACAGCAGCGGTTCTCAACCTTCCTAATGCCGCGACCCCTTAATACAGTTCCTCATGTTGTGGTGACCCCCAAACATAAAATTATTTTCGTTGCTACTCTATAACTGTAATTTTGCTACTGTTATGAATCGTAATGTAAACATCTTTTTGTTTTCCGATG